CTCTCAGTGGCTTGGAACTAGTCAAGTAGGCTAGGTTGTGTGGCCAGCAAGCTCAGGGATCTCCCCATCGGGGCCTCCCCAGCACTGCCCGAAGTTTCATTATGAGTCTCAGAATCTGCTTTGATACACTGCTAAGTATAGTCTTTCAAAGGCCCTCTGTGGTAGGCTCCTGTCCTGTTTCTTGTTTTCTTCTTCTTCCAATGTCCATCCCATTTGTCTTTCTGAGTAAGGATTGATCATCTTACCCAGGGTCCTCCTTTTTGATTAGCTTCTTTAGGTGAACAGATTTTAGTATGTTTATCCTGTCTTATAGGTCTAGTATCCACTTATAAGTGAGTATATACTGTGTGTGTCTTTCTGCTTCTGGGATACCTCATTCAGGATGATCTTTTCTAGATCCCACCATTTGCCTGCAAATTTCGTGATTTCCTTGTTGTTAATTGCTGAGTAATATTCCATTCTGTAAATGTACCACAATTTCAGTACCCATGCCTCCGTTGATGGACATCTGGGTTGTTTCCAGGTTCTGGCTATTACGAATAAAGCTGCTACAAACATGGTTGAACAACTGTCCTGGTTGTGTACTTGAGCATATTTTGGATATATGCCTAGGAGTGGTATAGCTGGATTTCAGGGAAGCCCTACTCCTAATTGTCTGAGAAAGCGGGGAATCAATGAAAGAAGACAGAGTTAGTGAGACCTGGAGAGGACAGGAGCTCCACATGGAGAGCAACAGAACCAAAATATCTGGGCACAGGGGTCTGTTCCGAAATTGATACCCCAACCAAGATCCATTCATGGATATAACCTAGAACTCCTGCTCATATGTAGCCCATGGCAGCTCAGTATCCAAGTGAGTTCCCTAGTAAAGGGGAACAGGGACTGTCTCTGACATGAACTCAGTGGTTCTCTCTTTAACCACTCCCCTTCCTGAGGGAGGAGCAGCCTTGCCAGGCCACAAAGGAGGACAATGAAGCCAGTCCTGATGAGACCTGATAAGTTAGGGTCAGATGGAAGGGGAGGAGGACCTCCCCTATCAGTGGACTTAGAGATGGACAAGGGAGGAGATAAGGGAGGGAGGGTGGGATTGGGAGGGAATGAGAGAGGGGGCTACAGCTGAGATACAAAGCAAATAAAATGTAACTAATGTAAAAAATTAATAATAGAATAAAATAAACAAGTGTGCTATTATTCTGAGATATATTTACATAGGTTCTGGGAACTGAACTCAGGCTCTTACACTTCACCCACTAAACTGTCTCCCTAGCTATGATTCCTAACTTTATAAAGGTAAATATATGATTCTACTGGTATCAGTAAGACTTGGTATGATGGGGACATACAAATGATTAACAAAAGTACACTTCTTACTCAAAGGAAAATGTTAAAATGTGGAAATTTAAAAGTCAAGGTGCACATGTGTGACGGAGACAACTGCATGAGTGAAACGATAAAGTAATGAAGTTCTGCCTTTGCAGCAATGTGCTACTGTGTGCCTGACAAGACACAGGTTATGTCCAATGATTTTTTAATGCAAAAGAAAACACTAAACCAGAAAGATATGTTGGATTTCTCATTTAGCTAGGAGTATCTCCTGAAACTTTATTGACTGTGATCATTTCAAATTTTAGCAGAGGCAGTAGGAAAGCTCAAAAGGGGGAAAAGTTAGGAGAGGAAGGGAAAGCTAACCCTTTTGACTTGATTTCAACCAATAAGAAGTTTTTGACAGGTAGGAGGACACATGCTTATAATCCCTGCACTCAGACAGTCTGAGCCAAGAGGATTGCTATGACATCCAGGTGAACCAGTATTTCATAGCAAGACCCTGTCTCAAAGCAAAAGGAAAAAAAAAAACCGAAAAAAAACAAAAAAACAAAACAAAACAAAAAAACAAGAGGACTGGGGAGGAGGAGAAAGAGAGGGAAGGAGGGAAGAAGGGAAGGAGGGAAGGAAGGAAGGAAGGAAGGAAGGAAGGAAGGAAGGAAGGAAGGAAGGAAGGAAGGAAGGAAGGAAAGAATTTCTAGATAATGACAATGTGAAATCTCTCAAGAGAAAGTAGCTCTCAGAACTGCAGTTCAGTCAATAGTGGCAGGACTGACTGGCTCATAAGAATGGGACTCTGAATCATCATTAATGTTTCTTTCTAGCAAAATTGTTACCCACCGCCTTTAATCCCAGTACTTAGGGGGCCGAGACAAGGGAATCTCTGTGAAGCTGTTCCCAGTTTGGTCTACACAATGAGTTACAGGCCAACTAGGAATAGAGAGTGAGGCCTCATCTAAAAACAAATTACTCATTGCAGTCTGAATTTTTGCTGTAAAACTTTGTTTTTTCTTCTATACTACTAAACTTCTCTATTAATGTTGAAAGCACAGAAATCAGGCTAAGAGGGAAAGCAAATGTGTTGAAAAGCAGAAATCAGATCTAAGGGGATCTGGTTATGATGGGACGCAGAGTCAAGGGTAACAAGACAACATGTAATAGGCATAAAGTCAAAAGTGTTGAGTTTGAATTGTGTAGAGATAAAACTTATCATGCATAAGAATCTCCATTAATTATATGCTAAGTAAACATTCAGTAATCAGTGTGTCTGCCAAGAAAAGTACAGAACAAGAGAATAGAAGCTCATGCACAAGAAATATAATCCATTGACTAGGGGCACACCTGAGTTGGTCGAATTCTTGCCCAGTATGAAGAAAGCACTAGGTACCATCTCCAACACTACATAAAACTGGGTATTGCAGTGCATGGTTGTAATCGCAGCACTCAGGCACTGGTGACAGAAGACCCAGAAGTTCAAGGTCACTCTCTGTTACACAGCAAATTCAAGGCCAGCCTGAGTTGCAAGAGCCCTAGCCTCAAAGGAGATAAAAAAAAAAAATGATATAATTCAGCTATCTTTTGGGGGAAGTCAAATCATTTCAGAGTACTTATATGCACTTTTGACACACAGTACATTTTAAAGGCACTTTAACCAACAGAAGACTGTCCATAAAAAGAATACTATGATGATAAAGGGCCTGGAAAGCAGATTGCATGAGGAGCAAACAAAAGAACTGAAAATGTTGAGCCATAAAAATGAGGAAATTTAGTAGTTACATATGAGTTACCTAAATTACCTGAATAACTGTTATATGAAAGATGAAATAAGTTTATTTATTAATGAGTCACAAAAAGCTTAATTAAAAACCGTCAAGCTTGAAGGCTGACAGTCACAGGTGCCGAACTTGTCCCCCATTGTCTTGGAGTTCCATGTCCTTGGAAAACTCCCTTCACTTCAACACCCATTTCTTCTTGTATAAAAATTGAATCAATAGCATCTGTTAGAAGGCTAAGAGCACAGGAGGACTAAATGAGATAATATGTGTGAGGATGGCAAAGCAGAATACACACACAACTTACTTTTGTGATTATTTACAAGGAGAAACAGGCCTCTTCTAAGGAAGCACTGGAGAACATTTCTAAGCTGTGCAACAATCAAATGTACTGTTTTCATGAAAATGGACTCCTCACTAGCAATGCTCAAGCAGAGGTGTTCATTTGTGTGGTAGAATGGAAGATTAGACCAGGTATCTTCTAAGACCTATTCAAGCTCTAAGATGCATTAACCTTATCATTAGTAGCAACTCATTTAGGCCTTAATTTACAAAGGACTCTAGGGTTTGAAAAGATAGGTGATAATTCTTAGGGTTGTCAGTTCTTGAACCTGTTCTCAACTTCTTGGAGATGATTGTTCTTCCCCAGTTAGGACAGTAAAGGACAGTGCCTGTGTTTGAACTGGCCTCCAGAACTTAGAGTACAGTGTAAGAGGAAAATTATAGTAAGGCCTTAGAACTGGTCACTTCATAATCTAAACAAATGTGCAGGATCACGGCTACATGAGCCAAGGGGCTTAGATTGGAGCCACAGGAGGCAAGTGTTTTTCAGTGTTTTACTCCTAAATGTCACCTCATCTCCCCTCCCCAGTACTGTAAAACAACAACAATAAAAACAAACAAACAAACAAACAGAATTCTGCCCAAGAATTGTCACCAAATAGGAAAAGAAAGCCCATAAGGAGTATTTGTTTGAATAAAGTCCATTCATGTTGGTCTAGGAAGACAGACATAAATGCAAACGGCAAAGTAAAAGAAAGTATTAATTTGCAGCCTTGCCAATGTAATTGCTTGAATTCAGCTTTGAGTCTGTTTTGTTTCCATTGCTTATCCTTCCCTCAGTGAAGGGATGTTCTGCTCAATGCCTACAGACTGCAGCCAATCAGTTAAATTCTTACTGTTCCTGTCTTGCTCCAGTTCACGAGAAGGTGAAACCATCTGACCATGTAGGTTGAAGAACAGCCTTTTAAACATCTTTAACTCTGTGACCCACTGATGCTTTTTTTTTTTTGAGACAGACCTTAAAATTACAATTCTACTGCTTCAACCTCCTGCGTGTTGGGATTATAGACACAAGCCACTGTACCTGGATCCATCTTGTTTTATATTTAGTGGAATTATTTGTGGAAACACAGAATTAGTAAAGAGAAGAGTGATGGGGAAGAAAATTGATCTACATGTTCATAGACACAAATAGGTTAAGATAAAGGAAGTAATGGTCCTTGAACATGATTTTATTTTATCATGATAATGAAGTGGCAGGAGACTCAGAGAGATGGGTTCACACATATGGAATGGTGGTGACTTAGCTACCCAGGAACAAATATTAAGCAGCACTTTGAGTCAATGAAGTAGTATGGATTGGGAAAAAAGTAAGGATTGCATAAACCACTAGGGATGATCCCAGTGACTACCAAGGAAGAAAATATACAACTGGCTTATCAGCCATCAGTAATGTTTTACAATACCCTGGGGAGCTAACACTGTCTATGAAAGTCTATACTAAACAACCTCACATGCCTTACAAACACTTGCCTCGTGGCGCACCAGCCAATCTTGAGCAGCTTACTGCTTCCTTACATTTCCTTATCTCTGGCCACAGGCCCCAACTACACCATGACTTACTGATGAAGTTAGCCTGGCCAGTGAATATGGTGTACTGAAGCTCATAGGAGCTGATGCTGAACTCATCATCCGAGATCCAGTGGACTGTAATGGTGTCATGGGAGGCAGTACAGAGCTCTTCTCGGATAGATGGTGGATTTGGGGCTGAAAGAAAAAGTGAAGAAAATGGTAAGAAAATATCTTGTCTCTTCAGAAATAAGTAGAGGTTTTTGTTTCTAGACAAACACAGTAGCACAGGGCTATATGTCCAGCTCTGAAGACATTTTCATATTAACAACAACCATGCAGACAGACTAAAGCAATGTGCTGAGACTTCAAGCTCCTCCCAAAACTAGTTTTTTGACAAATATATAAGACTAAGTTATGATCATGATTTCTCCAGTTTTACAAAATGCCTGTAAAAACACATAAAGATAATCAAGGCATAAATACTATTTTCTTGTTACATGGATATTAACCTGTTACTATTTCAAAATAGTTTTCCTACATGTCTGACAGTATTTAAAATACAAATTAATAAGAATTTCCCATGCTAAAATGGGTATGAGAGATACCTTATAGATTTGTTATGAAGAATACTGATACAAAATTAATATAGTGTCTGGAATTAGGTAAATAATAAGTAATAGCTGCACTGATTAAATAATAATATAGATACAAACAATAAAGTTATTGTCCATAGATCTTTCTTAAAAAAATAACCACTCAGTAATCCTGAAAGTAGCAAGCATTCTTAACAAGCTGGTATTATTCTTTACTTTTTTTTCTTCTTCATGGATATTTAGTAGTCTTTATTTCAGTCAGTTTAACAATTATAGGCTGTCACTTCTGACAGCTATTTATTACATGAAAAGTTTGTCTAGAAAACTAACCCTGAGTCATAACAGTTCAAGGAAATCATATGATGCTTTATAAGAAATACATTTGAAAGTTTATCCTATATTATATGTCTAATATCCACTTATAAGTGAATATATACCATGTGTGTTTTTCTGCCTCTGAGATACCTCATTCACAATGATCTTTTCTAGTTCCCACCATTTGCATGCAAATTTCATGATTTTCTTTTTTAAACTGCTGAGTAACATTCCATTTTGTAAATGTACCACACTTTCTGTATGCATTCCTCCATTGAGGGACATCTGGGTTGTTTCCAAATTCTGGCTATTACACGAATAAAACTGCTATGAACATGGTTGAACATTTGTCCTTGTTGTATACTTTAGCATATTTTGAGTATATGCCTAGGAGTGATATAGCACTATTTCTGTTCTTTTTTTTATTCTTTATTAATTGCACTTTATTCACATTGTATCCCCCCTGTGGTTCCCTCCCTCCTCCCGTCCCAATCCCTCCCTTCCTCCACCCTCTGCATGCAGGCCCCTCCCCAAGTCCACTGATAGGGGAGGACTTCTTTTCCTTTCTTCTGATCCTAGTCAATTAGGTCTCATCAGGAGTGGCTGCATTGTCTTCTGTGGCCTGGTAATGCTGCTTCCCCCTCAGGGGGAAGTAATTAAAGAGCAGGCCAATCAATTCATGTCAGAGACAGTCCCTGGTCCCATTACAATGGAACCCACTTGGATACTGAACTGCCATGGGCTACATCTGTGCAGGGGTCTTAGGTTATCTCCATGCATAGTCCTTGGTTGGAGTATCAGTCTCAGGAAAGACCCCTGTGCTCAGATTTTTTGGTTCTGTTGCTCTCCTTGTGGAGTTTCTGTCCTCTCCAGATCTTACTGTTTCCTACTTCTTTCATAAGATTCCCTGCACTCTGCCCAAAGGTTGCCCATAAATCTCAGCATCTGCATTGATAGTCTGCAGGGCAAAGCCTCTGTGTCAGGCTTCTGACTTGTTCTCTCTTTTCTCCTTCTTCTGATGCCCATCCTCTTTGCCTTTCTGGATAGGAATTTTAGCAAGAGTCCTCCCTCTTGATTAGTTTCTTTAGGTGTGCAGATTTTAGTAGGTTTAGTTTATATTATATGTCTATATGAATATATACCATGTGCATCTTTCTGCTTCTGGGATAGCTCACTCAGGATGATCTTTTTCAGATCCCACCATTTCCCTGCAAATTTCATGATTTCCTTGTTTTTTTTATTGCTGAGTAATATTCCATTGTGTAGATATACCACAATTTGTGCATCCATTCCTCCACTGAGGGGCATCTGGGCTGTTTCCAGTTTCTGGCTATTACAAATAAGGCTGCTACAAACATGGTTGAGCAAATGTCCTTATTGTGTACTTGAGACTCTTTTGGGTATATGCCTAGGAGTGGTATAGCTGGATCTTGAGGAAGCGCTATTCCTAGTTGTTTGAGAAAGCACCAGATTGCTTTCCAGAGTGGTTGTACAAGTTTATATTCCCACCAGCAATGGAGGAGGGCTCCCCTTTCTCCACAACCTCTCCAGCATGTCTCTTGAGTTTTTGATCTTAGCCATTCTGATGGGTGTAAGGTGAAATCTTAGGGTCATTTTGATTTGCATTCCCCTGATGGCTAATGAGGTTGAGCATTTCTTTAAGTGCTTCTCTGCCATTTGATATACCTCTATTGAGAATTCTCTGTTTATCTCTGTACCCCATTTTTGCTACGCAAGAAGGAGGACCCTGAGTAAGATGATCAACCCTCACTAAGAAAGGCAAATGGCATAGAAATCAGAAGAGGGAGAAAATAGGGAACAGAACAGGAGCTTTTCTCAGAGGTCCTTTGAAAGATTACCCAGGAGGGTATCAAAACAGATGCTAAGACTCATAGCCTACTTTGGGTAGAGTAGAGGGAATCTTATGAAAGTAAGGGGAGATAGACATGGAGAAGACAAGAGCTCCCCAAGGATAGCAACAAAACCAAAAAATCTGGGCCCAGGGGTCTTTCCTGAGACTGACAACTCCAACCAAGGACCATGCATGGAGATAACCTAGAACCCCTGCTCAGATGTAGCCCATGGCAGCTCAGTATCCAAGTGGGTTCCCTAATAAAGGGAACAAGGGCTCTCTCTGACATGAATTCAGTAGCTGGCTCTTTGATCACCTCCCCCTGGGGTTCAGGGAGCAGCCTTACCAGGCCACAGAGGAAGACAATGTAACCAGTCCTGATGAGTCCTGACAGGCTAGGGTCAGAGGGAAGAGGAGGACCTCCCCTATCAGTGGACTTGGGGGAGGGGGCAGCTTAGGAGGGGATGAAGGAGGTGGTTACAGCTGAAATACAAAGTGAATAAAGTGTAATTAATAAAAATCAATACATTGTAAAATACAAAAAAGAAATAAATTTGATTTTTTTATAAAGCTCTTCTTTTTTACTGCTATCAAGGACTGAACTATTTGCTATACTGGTCAAGATCTCTGCCAATGAGCCTCAGCTCCCGAGAAGTCCACTTTTATGTAACATGAAGTAAAATATATTGTTTCTAAAGATACATGTGGTCTACCATCTTGAACATACCATCTTGAACATAACTGATCTTGTCTAAAAAGTTACATGTGCTCTGTAAAGACTTATTAAAAATTCTTATTGTAAATCGTTTCATTTTCAGGTTGCTTTAGATAAAAAAAAGGGGTACAGAAAGATAAATAAATAAATAAATAGATAGATAGATAGATAGATAGATAGATAAATAAATAAATAAATAAATAAATAAATAAATAGATAAATAAATAAATAAATAAATGAGATTGGAAGGAATGCAAAGTACTTCCACACCTGTTAAATAGTCTAGCCCCTCCAAAAGTTTCTTTTCTCTAGAAAAATCTAAAGCAAAGTTTTCAAAGGCATCATTAAAATTGATGTCTGGAATCAGAACTTGAGAAGATGCAGTTGCCATAGTGACCCTGAAAAGAAAAAAAAAAAATACATCGTTATACATCAAAATAGGCTTGCCACCTTCATCTCCTGTTTGATTTCTGGCTTAACGAGGTATAAATAAATCATTTGTAAGTGAAAATATCATATCTCTGCCTTTCCAACAGAAACAGTTTCAATTTTAATCGTAAGGAACTAATTAAGAGTCATACCATATTTATACACATATGTTCACCCCTAAAACACACTCCCCCATCCTGTCTTAATTTTGAGAAGTAAATACAGGATTTTTTCCCTTCTGCATCATTTTCCATCTGTCAGGCAGCATCAAAGTAGGCCTCTGCTGGCTTGGTAAGAGCAGTTTAAGACTGATTTTCTGTCTCTTTTTTCATGCTAACTAACAAACCAGGTTTCTGGGTTAATGTCTCCCCATTAATACTATTCATTCTTTGATCTTTCATAATATTTATATTTCATTGAATTATTCCCTAATTGCATGATATTCTGATAATTTTATGTCCCCAACTAATTGTTTCTTTCCCATTGGTTTGCTTATTTATTTAATTGAAATAGGATTTCATGTATTCCAGGCTAGCCTTGAACTTGCTACACAGCCAAGGATAACCTTGAAATCCTGATTCTACTGCTTCTATCTTCTGAGGGTCAAAAAGATGAAGATGTGGCACCATGTCCCATTTAGGAGATGCTGTGGATTCAACCCATGCTAGGCAAACACCCTGCCAACTAAATTACATTCTCATGCTCACCTTTCTAAATAACTTTAAGAGACACAGCAATAAAGTTCCCTGTTTGCCTCTTACATCTTCTTCTATGGTTCCTAAAACAACGCTGAGCACATAGTGAATAAACATATGTTGAATGAGTAACTGAATGACTTACAACAACAACATGATGCTAATGTTTATGGAATGCTTAGTATATATAAAGCACTGTGCATGGAAATGAAAATTTACATAAATTATCTAATGTTCTCTTTGCCACAATGTTATGTAGTAGAAGTTATTTCCATTTTGTAAATGAGGAAGCATGCACATTTAAAAGCAAAGTAAGCTGTCAAGATCACACACAATAGTAAAAGTCAAAATTTAATTGAAGCCACGTTTGTCTGATTCTAAGCTGTGTTTCCATAACCATGTATGTTATTTCTAAGTGTACATTTTTATATGTCAGCAATTCTTATGATTCCATGATTAATCAGACTTATCTGGGGGGTGGTTTTACAAAAATATTCAGGTTTCAGTCCTGTATCAGACCTACTGAATAACAGCCAATTAAGCTCCTTGTGTTTACAGATGGCAAGATGGAAGGAAACATTACTTTGCAGGCACTATGCAGGTTCTAGTGGCATAAGAGGCATGGAGTAGAGTAAAATAAAGAACATAAATTTTCTTAAAAAAAGAACATAAATTTTTATACTGAGCCATTTGTAAGGTAATGAGGTATTGAGCAAAAACATATACTCTGCTGCATATTTCTGGAAATGTAAATGTTTCGAGAATACATTGCATGACAGTATAAATAAATAAGAGATTAATTTAATACAATTGTTCGGGGTTTATTTTTTGGTTTTGTTTCATTTCATTTTGTTTATTTTTAAACACATTCTGGTGTACTTTAGAGCGGCCTTCACCTACCTATATACCTGAGGATAGCCTTACACTTGTGATCCACTTCCAGCATCACCTTAATATACACAGGGTTTTTTGTTTGTTTGTTTGTTTTGTTTTGTTTTGAGAGAAGGTTTCTGTGTGAAGTCCCAGCTCTCCTGGAACTTGCTTTGTAGACCAGCATGTCCTCAAACTCAGAGAGTTTCACCTACCTTTGCCTCTCAAGTGCTGGGATTAAAGGCATGCACTACTGTGCCTGGCTGGAAGTTACTTTTAAGTCATGACCTACACGATGAACACTTAACAAAGGGTAAATATGTTCCCTCTTGCTTAAATGGTAGAGAATGAAGCAAAATTGTGTAGAATATTATATGCTATGTTTTTAACTTAAACCTTTAACCTAAGAAAAATAAGACCCACTGGAGCAATTTAGGCAAAGGAATAATATGCTTAAATTTATGTTTCAAGAACACTTTTAAAGCTGTAATGGAAGAAGTCAGTCAGATGTTTTAAATCATCTAGGAATAAGCAGTAAGTGAAGTAGTAATGAGGCAGGATAGGAGGACAGGGAAATTATGGGGATTTCTGCTATAAGGAATCTCACAATAAATACCACATTTACAGTAAAAGGCATGTCTTAAAACCCCTGGGCATCCTGTGGACCCCTGGTTTTACCTTATCATATTGCAATCTTACTCAAGGCTCCTATAGAACCATTCCATTATTTTCTTTACCAAAAAGAGAAACAGAGACAGAGGAGGGGGTGTTCCCTTTGAAACACCTTGAGCTATATAAGTTCAAAAGCCTCTAAAATCTTATATTCAGTTACTGCTAAGGCATTCAAGGGGTATTCTCTCTTTAGAAGCTCACACTCATGCTTTTGGATGTGTCATATCCTTTTCCCAAGCACCTTTCTTTTTATTAACACCCATGTTCAAATCCATGTCAAACTCTTTTCCTAATGAACTCCAATTCTGCTTCATACTGAGTCAACCTGAAATTCTGTTTGCAGTCAAAAATCCTGGCTTCACTTGAGTGGAGGGCTCTGAAAAATACTCTTTGGACTGCTACAAGTGACATCATATTGCTTTGTCTCCTGCTAGAGTCTCAGTGTCTCTGACAGGAATAAGAGTGTAAAGAAAACTGAAAGGGGAGTAGAGGATTTATTAAGCAGTCAAAAATTTCTGGGGTGAATCCTCTAATTGACTGCATGGACAAGCACACGCACACCCACAATACACACACCCACAAACACACACACACACACACACACACACACACACACACACACTCACTCACTCACACACACCTGAAGAAAATCAATCTGATTCAAAAAACATGAAAAAAATGGCACCAGTAGTATGGTCAGCAGGTAATGGTGATTGTTACCAAGTCCCACTACCTGAATTTAATCTCCAGACCTCACACTGTGAAAGGAGATAATTGACTCCCATAAGTTGTCTTCTGACCTTACAAATGTGAGTCCACATTTACCCAAAGAGATACATAAATAAATGAATGAATAATAAATAAATGTAAATATTAAACAACAACAACATGAAAACAAGCCAGATGTGGTGGTGCATACCTGTAAGCCTAGAACTCAAGAGATAGCAGCAGAAGGATTTCCAAAAGTTTGAGGCCATCTTGGACTACAAAGGGTGTTCTAGGTCAGTCAAAACCTGGAGCTCATTTTTTTCATGTTTACTGGAAGCCAGACAATTCCAGAAATCTTCCTGTCTCTATATACTTCAGAGTTGGAGTTACAGGCACAACACTTAGCTTGTGTGGGTGGTGGAATCTGAATGCCAGCCTTCATGATTACACACCAAGTGTTCTTAACTACCAAACCATCTCATTGGCCCACTTCATGAAATTCTTACCAAGCAAATAACTGAGATGCATGTAATGATAACTACAAATGCACTTGACATACCATATGTAACCTAATTCTTCAACACTGGAGACTGAATTAAGTATTGATTTATGTGTGGCACATGAGCTCTGTGACCAAGGCATCCAACTCACAGCAAAAGTAAGCTCAAGATATGTCCAAGCCCTGAAAATCTCATCTTGAGACCAGCAGGAGTAAGGATTGATCCCTCCCTGTTCTGGGTCTGCATGCTCTGGTGTGTGTAGCCTAACAACCCCTACCTCTGCCACCCTTGTGGTCTTCATATAACCTGGTGGCCAGGTTTCAGGTTAAATCTTCCTATTTCCTCATAAGGACACATCTAGCTAGCGCTTGGAATTCCTCTCCATGCAAATGAAGTGATCCCCAGTACCTCATCCCCAGCCAATGATGTACATACACCCTGAAAACCCTTACCTACCTCCTCAAGGTTTATATAGCCCTTATTCTCCCTAATAAAAGGATGCTATTTTACTGACAACCATCTCAGAGTCCCCCTGACACACACACTGAGATCCTGCTAACCTGTTTCATTCCTTCAAGACTGTGCCTGGATGCCCCAAGAGAAGGAAAAAAAAAGCAGAATGGCATCTGTGTGTGTGGTGTTTCTGTGAGTGTGTGTATACTCATATATATATATATATATATATGAATATATATGCATATAATATATGAGTATGTATGATTATATGATATATGTACTCATATAAAACATGTTCTCATATATATAACAGATATTCTCATATGTATAACATATATTCTCATATGTGTAAGAAATTTTATAAGCTATCAAAAGTAAAGTTTTTCAATGATATGGAAGAAACTCTGATATATTATTTTGAATGTAAGCTATAATAGAGTACAGGGAAATTTGTATGTGTGTTACAATACTATATTTCTAAATGTTAGTGGTGTCTACAAGATTAAGAATGTTTAAAAAGTGACAATAGTGGGTATTGGACTTTCTTGTGGTCTGTGTTTCTATGTTTATATATTCACATCTCATTAAAATCTTTCAAAGCCTTGATCATCACATATAGAAAGTGTTGAAGGGGCATATCTTTCCCAGCTAAAATTTCATTTTATATGAAGTGAAAGTACCTTAATACAATACAATGAATAAGGATGCGGATGAATTTCAGATTCTGTAGGAGAGCATGGAAAAAGATGCTTTTATTGGGTAGGGTGATTCTCAAGTGGTATCACTTAGATAGCTATTTTTTCCATGCACTTGAGCCCATGAAAAGACTGACATAGCTATTTGGGAATCATCAAGACAGTAGTTGATTGCAATTAAATGGTAACTGAAGCCTTAATAGCTAATGGATTTGTAAGGAAAACTGTGTAGGGAGAGAAGAGACTTTCCTAATACTGAATCAGGAAGAACAGTATCATTAAGGAAATAGATCAAAGAAGAGCTGCTCTCAATGGCAAAAAGAAAGAGAGGAGAAGGAGGGGGGAGAGAGAGACAGAGATAGAGAGAGGGAGAGGGAGAGGAGAGAGATCAAAGTAAAGCAGACAGGTAATGGAACTTTTCATGAGAGACAAAACAGGGAGATTGCAAGTAAAAGTAGTCAGTAGGGACATATGCTACTGAGATACCAATGAGATGAAAATGATAGATGAAAAAAAAAAGAGCATCTTTAATATTTAGCAACAAGGTCTTCTTTTGGTGACCTTGAAAAGAACACTTTCAATAACGTGAAGATGGGAGACAACATTTCAAAGGCCTACAGAGTAAGGACAGTTAAATATAGTGCTTTAAATATATATATTTCACCTCTGCTTTCCTAAAACCCCATGGAAAAGAAAAAGAATAAAAACTTATCTAAACCCACAAAGACAAAAAGAATGAAACAAATATATGCCAACAACTAAGAGACTGTCAACAAATGTTTGGAAGTAGAAAAGGACAGATGTGCAGTAACTAACAACAGACCAGAGAAAGCTGGACTAGGAAGCCCACAACATCAAGCTGATTTAGTAACAGCTTGAAAGTCTGCATGAAGACTAGCTAGAGCTCCAGATCCACTCAAACAGTCTGATCTTTCTTCAACCTAGCAGGAGACGTGAGGTTGACTTCGGCAGAGTTTTGACATTAAAAAAAAAAAAAAAAAAAAAAAAAAAAAAAAAAAAAAAAAAAAAAAACAAGAAAGTCGCAGTCTCCTTCCCTGCTCTGGCTCCTAGAATGCTGACAGCAGGACTTGTAAGCCTGCCCTTCCTCTCCCTGCACACACACAGACACACCCATCCCCTGCACCAAAAACAGGAGGTTACAGGATTCCTGCTAAGGAAAATGGGCTCAAAATAAAACACCTACAGTACTGACAGTTGAGATCCCACAATAAAAAAGTGGCACTCGGTTTTATAATCCTACAGTGAAGTTCACCAAGCAACAAATTACCCCCACCCCCTCACAGCTTCCCAGCACCTTTTAGTGAGTGCTGAAATTTAAAGAAAGTCAAAAGTTTACTGGGTATTCATAGTATTCAAGGAAGTACAGAAAGTAATGTAATGGGCCTGGCAGGAGAGGAAATATTATACAGACACTTGTGCCTTTCCTTTCAGCTATCAGAGGACTGAAATAAGAAGTCTCCAAGAATTATCATTTCCCCAGGAATCCCATGCTGGGGCTAGCGAAAGGCTTAAGTGCTGGTCCCAATCAGAGGAGAAACGTGATATTTTAACTTAATATGTATTTCCTGGCTTCTGTTTCATCTTTTCTATAACATTGTAAGACTGAAATAGAATGGACTGAAAGAAACTAGAAATATTTTTATGGTTTGGCTAAACTGGTAATAAATTAATTTTTATTTATCAACAACTTGTCCCCTAAATTATTTTTAAAGGTGGCATATTTATGAATCTAAGTGCACACAACGAAGGAAGAAACTTGGAGAAAACCAAAATAATGCAAGACTTCTTAAAAATAAGGAAACAATTTATATGTAAAAAATAATAACAGAATGTTAAGAAAGAAACAAGGATCAATAAAATTCTCTAATGAGGGTTGAGAGATACACTACAGGATAGCTCCAAGCCGATTAATACACATATAATTGCAGTCTTAAAACAATCAGAAAGCAAGATAACATTTTTGACAAAATAGTTACTGACAATATTGCAAGATTTTCAGAAGTTAATATCTAAAATATCAATGTCAATTTTATATCAGTAGGAATACCTAATAGAATTTCAATTGCTTGGCATTGTTCCCAAAGTGCACAATATTCCTTATATTTGAACCCTGCCTCTGCTAGTTTGGTGATTTTAGGCAAGTTACTTAAACTCACTAAACCTTGTGGTCTCATTTGTAAAATTGGAAAATATTAATATCTGCCTTATAAAAATTTTGTAAGGGTTCTTTGTATTAATACTAATAAAGGGGTAAAATATGTGCCCAACAGAAAGTAAGTTGTTATTGTTATTATAAATCATCATTATTGGAGAGCAGAAACTCGATAATAGAAGAGTGCTGTTTCTGTCAATATGATTTTGCTATATTTTACATTCTAACTATGTACAAAGTGTCATTTTTACATAAACAAGGTATAACACTTAATGAATGTAAGGAGTGATGAAAGCAGTTTTCTGCAAGCATGAAAGAAAGAAAGAGAGAAAGAAAGGAAGAAAGCAGACAGGAAATACAATGATAACTAGAGGGGATATGAGGTAGAAAAAAATCATAGGGTTTTTATTTTGTTTTTAGGCTATAGAGCCATGAGTGGGATTAAAAGTAGATGTGAAACCAGCAACTCTATGAAAAACTGAAGATAGAGAAACAAGGATGAGTGCAGCCAAATCACAAATAAGGGGGCAACTCTTATTATAACCAGAAGGAAGGTGAAAGTAATGGATGTGGACCTAACTATGTCTAGAAACTTGATATGAGAAGTTAAACATTATCATTTTATACTTAACCATTATCTATACAATTTAGTAAGCATGAATATAAACATGGCAGAACTAGCATTTACGGTGAGTACAAAAGATTTAAAATAGCATTGTGGACAGAGGTTGATAAGAACACTGACCATAGGGACACAGAAAGATTTCAGGTCAGTACTGTGCATGAATTATTGTGATATATCGTTGGTTGTATGATTTTTTTTTCACCGTACAGATGTGGAAAAGGTGGGAATAGTTGAACTGGTTCAGGTTTAAGATTTTTTCAGTCTGATTATGTAAAGGGCAATGGGAAAGGGGATTGGGAAAGAGAGTAGCTGGAGTGACAAATCACAAAGCCAAAATAAACTTAGAACAATGTAGAGCTAGGTCACTGGTAGGAAAGAGGGAAGTCTATGACTCAAGATTTAGAGATCTCAATAAAGTGAAGAAAAATATATTTGAATTAAAAAGAGGTTGTGGTTAGAAATTGTGATGCTTTTAGTTTATGATTGTGTGATTTTGAGTGATATTGATGAGGTGTGGTCCACGACTGAGTGAATGAAGTGGATCTGAGTTCGGAATCTCTGGAGAAGATATTAGAGAAGGTGGATGGCTAGGTGGTAGGAGTATGACGTGGGTCAGCTGTCTAAGTGAATCCACCTAGAATGATGACATACCAGTAGGAAGAAGATTGTGAGCTTAAAAACTAAAGTCTCTAATGAATGAGAAGAAAATGTGTAAAGAAGATGAACTAATGGTCTACTGTAGCCCTTTGAAGAATTGGTGGCTATGCTGGACAATGATTTACTTTAGAGCATAGATTCTGGGCCAATAAATAGACTATTAGTAACCCATGAGTTCTCTGATATACTGGAACAAGGTTCATGATATTAACTTTCAAGGCACCAAGTGATTAAATAAAAGCCAAATAATTCTCTAAGGAATTCATGCAAGAAAAACCTAAGCTTAAAGAACAAAAACTATACATACACACATGCACATACAAGCAGCAATAAATGAACTCAATGGATCTGGTAATAAAAATCACATGAAGTAGGGAGAAAAAATTACTGTGTTGGATATGAGAGGAATTGGAGGCCAGAGAGTGGGGGTCACTTTGATTAAAAAAAAAAAAAAAAAAAAAAAACTAAGCATGCTAGGCTTAGAAAAGGCATATCCTATCACTGTAACCCTGGGTTTCTCTTCCTACACACCACAACTATCACAGATTGCTCAAGACCTAGCAAGAAACTAAAGGCAGGAGGTAGCCCTATACTTGGTTATGCATTAAAAGAGCTGGTGGGCAGCAAAGACAGAGAAAAAGGATCCAGAAATCTGCAGGGTAATTTATCACCAAGTCTCAATAATTACCTAGCTGGTAAAACTCTTCAGGTGGCAGCTACTACACAATGCCTGGAGAGAATTAAGGAACTTAATGCCACCCCCTTTTCACAAGAGCAGTCATTTCAAAAGAACATAAGGAGCATATATACCTCTCAGCAATATTTTTTGCAGACTGCAGGAACCGTGCTTGGTCATTTTCTTTTAGGATATGTTCAGCTTGGTTGATGAGAACTGTTGACCGTTCAAGACATTGGCGGCAGTTAGCAACCTGCTGTGCCAACTTTCTCAGTTTCATAACCTTAAAAGAATCGGTAAGAGAAAAGATGAGAGAAAACATACCGTGCTTAATTTAAAACAGTAAAACAACATGGAGATCTGCAACAGAGATTCTAAAAATAAGGGTTATTAATCCAATGACCCCTGCACCAACTGTTCACCTTCTCACCCTGGCTGCTAAGGTTCATGTCCAATCTATAAGTTGATCACTCCCATTGTACTCAGCCATATACTGCTATCTACATCCTCTTTGTATTAATAACATTGTTTTGATTATAAAAATTACAGCATGCTAATTATAGAAAATTTAAAATACAAATGTAAAGAGCAATTCTACCACCTAGAGATCACTATTGTTTATATTTTATTGGTAATATATTTTTGTACACATTTAACAAAAGTATCTCATTTTTATTTATGAGTAGCTGCACTTACATATACATATTTCTCTATACCTACCACAATGTATTCTTGGAAACTTCAGTTCATGTTAGCTGAAACCACCCAGCATGGCACAAAGTATTGGTCATCAAATGAGGTACTCGCAATTTTTCACATTGTACCCACAGCATGGGCTCATAATCACTATCATTTACCAGCAGGTCCACAAACCTAAAAATGTACACGGAGACTTCCACATGACCTCTTTGACCCTTACTCTTCAGTACTCTGCTTAGAAATCTGTAATTCAGCTGGGCATGGTGAAGCATGCCTTTAATCCCAGCACTTCAAAGGCAGAGGCACACAGGTTTTTATGAGTTCGAGGCCAGCCTGGTCTACAAAGTGAGTTCTAGGTACAGCAAGGGCTGTTACAAAGAACACTGTCTTGAAAAAACAAAAACGATAGAAAGAAAGAAAGAAAGAAAGAAAGAAAGAAAGAAAGAAAGAAAGAAAGAAAGAAAGGAAGGAAGAAAGATGGTTCTTTGACTCTTCTTTCTCGCTTTCATCGATTATATCTAATAAATTGAATGAAACAATTTTTCTCTCTGGCAATTATTATACTTTTCCTTTCCATGAGTTCTATCACTAGCTGGTTTACATCTTACCAGAAATAACTGTATGGCTCCAAGTGGTCCTTGCTTCACTGTCATGTTCTGATGTACCATGCACATCTCTACCATACCAGATTGCATCCTTTCACAGAATAACAATAGTTTCCCAACACTTTTCATAAGTCCTAAGCAGTCAAGATGTCAGTTACATTTCTTCTATAAGCTAGACCCATATTTCTAGCATTATTTGTTTTTAAAATATGGGGGAGAAGGAGAGCCTAGAGAGATGGTTCAGTGGTTAAGAGCAATGATAACTCTTCCACAGGACCTGGGTTCAATTCTTATTGCCCACTTGCCAGCTCACAGCTGGGTTTAACTCTAGTTCCAAGGGATCTAATGGCCTCTTCTGGCCTCTAAGGGTACTGCATGCATGTGGTGCACATACACACACCCAGGTGTGTGTGTGTGTGTGTGTGTGCATGCGCGCCAACAGCCAGGTCAAGATAGAAAATGTTTACATCACTCAGAGCTGCTGTCATTTTCTATCAGACTCATAGCAAAGGCCAAACATTATTTCATGTTACCTCTCCCCATGACCACATTTCCCTTTGGTTTTATGATTCAATTTCAAACTGCAATCATTAGGGATGAACTCTGACTTTTGGGAAAAGTCACTGCACCTTGGCTTCACTGAAGCACATGCTTTACCTTTGTCTCTTTGATTTTGACAGCAATCATTTGCTTCCTCTGCTGGATGATCTCTACCAACTCATCACATTCTTCCATAAGTTTTGCCTCATGCATAGCAGTATTCACCTGCCAAGAAAGTCCACAGTATTATACAGTGATCATTGCTTTTGTCCCCTGCTGGCTCTAAAAGGTTCGGACTGACAGCTAAACATGCACAACTTCTTCCATACCTCCCTCGATACGATCCACTCCTAGAAGAAGAGTAGAGATGATGATATTAATGATGCAAGGGCATTGAAGCGCCACAGATAGGAAGCTCTCCAGGCCTCTGCTAGGTCATGATGGTTAATGGAAGGCTGGGCAGAAGGACAGATGAGATGGGGGCATGTTATTCCCACTGTGAAAATCCCTTTACTTCATCCCCCTGTCCTCCTGCTGTTCTTTGAAAAGAAGGCAAGAAGATTCATGTATCCCAAAGAAAGAAGAGCCTCTTCCACATGCACGATGATACTAAGATTATAGTGCAGCAACATATTTCTACTGTCTTACAGCATTTTCAGTTTTCCTTGTTCCTGTCTGATTTTGAATATGTGAACGTTCAGATAGATTTTTCACATTAAACATATGTGTAGATATTTTTCACATAGTTGTCATAATATTTTACTCATATTTCTTGGCTTACAGAAAAATTTCTATCCAATACCTAAATATGTTTCCTATTTTGAGATACAGTCTACAGCAAAATATCTCTGCTGCAGAGTCAGGATGGAGTTGAATAAAAAGCCACTATTCACTGTCTTTCCATGGGCAGATTTCTTCATCTCCGCTTCTCTCCTTCTATAGATATTGAATGATACAAAATCCCCAGGAGGTGCTAAAATGAATGCAGGAAATCATGAGATTCCCAGGCATAAAGAAAAAAGAAGAGACGAGGAGCTCACATATTTGAAGCACTCGGCATGCTGAATACTACACACAAAAGTAGTTCCTGTATTAAATTATATAAGTTTTTAATACAGAAGCCATTTTTCTCAGTTCACAAATGCACAAACTGGGGCTCTGAAAATTTTAGTAACTTGTTCCGTATCACATTGCTAAGTAAGTGGCAGAACCATGTTTCAAATTTAGCTCTGTTAAATGAATCCCTGGGCTAGCTGAGGAGGGACATTGACAGGGGCTGGCAAACAGGGTTCAGTTCCATTTCACAGCACATGGAGCAGTGACACAGAGAAGCACAGTCATCCCATGAGTCTATTCAAGGATCACTTGACTAGGGCTCTAGAAAGATGGGATTAGACAGTGGTTTTCTTGAGAGCATCAAAACTCAAGGAGCTAGAGGTACTGTATTAGCTCGGGAGGAGGGGTTGTATTGTCAGTCATTCTATCTCTTGAAAAGATTCCTCTACACACAGTGTACTGAACCCTGTTATCTCCTTTCTCTTTAGGGTCCCTGCTGGATATTTTTTAATGTTTTTATTAATTATTTTAGAATTCTATATAATGTATTTTGATCATATTCACCTTTAATTACTTCCCCTAATTTCTCTCAGATCCATGCCTCTCCTCCTCAACTTCTTGTCCTCTTTTCAGAAATTAAAAAAAAAAAAAAGCCCCTTGAGTCCAATTTGTGCTCCCTATGTCCTTCCCTGGATTATGGTCAACCTGCCAGAGGCCACACCTTTAAAAACCAGACTACTCGTTTCTGAGAAGCCATCAATTGAACATAGTTACTCAGTTCCTGCTGGATAATTTTATGTTTCTTTTTTAAAGACTTAGAAAGGTTTAACATGCATGAGTGTTTTTCCTGCAGGTTATGTATGTATGGTATGTATGTATGTGTACAACGCATGTGTCTGCTGCCCTGAGAAGTTAGAAGAGAATGACAATTCCTCTAGAACTGGAGTTTGGCATGGTTGTGAACCAATATGTGGTAGCTGGGAATGGAACCCAAGTTCTCTGCTAGAACACTTAGTGCTCTTTACCACTGAGCCATCTATCCAGCCCCAATTTTATGTTTCTTATTTAACTAAAATGTTTGCCATTGAATGATAATATTACTTTTCTTTATTACCACGTTCTAGAGGAATACAATAATGGCAGCTTTCACTTATTCTAAATGAATACTCCCTCTGGCCCTTGTCCACTTTTTATTTCTTCTCAGACTATTCTCCCTTTCCTTAAGTTATTTCTAGTTTTCCAAGGTATACATCATACCATCTCAAGGAACTCTCATTCCTCTGACAATGAGAGATTTATCTAGTTCTCGCAGGGTCATTGCTTAGAGACCTAGAAACAGACATTTCTCAATAAGAATTTCTGTTTTAGGCTGCTGCTGGTATAGCAGAGAACAGCATGGTACTTCATTACTTCTAATTTAGTCCTTGGACTAACCTTTACAGAACACTCATGGTGTACTAGGCACAAGTGTAATTTATTTATATTTATCATATTTCAATCCCCCAAACAATCCCTTGTGGCAGGTATCAGTATTTCCATTAGACAGATAAGGAAACATGAGTCCAGAGAGACTGAGTGACTTGTTCAAGCCTACATAATTAAGAATGATGGAGATGTAGTTCAGTTCCAGGAGGATGACCTCTAGAGTGCATATTTTTAACCATTATGCATCCTTCCTGTCTAGCCCACTATAACAACATCCATCTTTGGTTTCTGATAATCATTATCATTTTTGCACTATCTATCTTTATTCTGACATCCTTTTTTCTTTAATCATTTCAGACTTATTGTGTCTCTAAAATACCATGAATTTGCACGCCCTATACTTTTTCCTGAGGTTATCCTTTTATTTGGCAAGGCATGTCCTCATTTATTGAGCAAACTTTTATTTATCTTCCAAGGCCAAACTCTGTAAGCATCCCTTTTTTAACTTTCCCCCCCCCCCCACTGGTAACTATATAATTGGTCATTCCCCTACTTAGATTTACATAACACCTTCTACATGATTCTGTGATGCTGATTACTATTTTATATCACTGTAAAGTGCATTAGAGTGTCTTCTCCACTTAAATATGAAGTCTGGAGGCAGAGATTTTGTTTTGCTTATCTCCAGAATAGTGAAAGGCACATAGTACCCATATGTCAGTATCTGTTGGAGTGAGCTGAATGGTAATTTCAAAAGGGGCAATTTTTACTGCTTGTTTGATATGTTCAATTGGCTCCTCTGTGTTAATATAAAGTCTGCATATGTATCTAAAGATGAAATTATTATCTTCCCTCCATGTCTACTCTCCACTTCTGATTTACTGTCTTTTGTCAATAATGTTATTACAGCTACTTGAGTTTAGTAACGTTTTTTGAAAAAAGGGTTTTTTAATTTATTTTAATATTATAATATAATTACATAATTTCCCCTTCCTTTTCTTCCATGCTATCTTTCCCATATACTCCCTCCTTACTTGCCTTCAAATTCATGACCTCTTTTTTCACTAATTGTTGTTACATGCAGATATGTATATACATCTATAATCTTCAATACAATCTGCTCAGTCTTTATAATGTCACCTGTATGTATATTTTCAGGGCTGACCATTTGATGCGCACTTACCTGTGGATGACTGTTTCTCCTAATCTTAGCTTTAATTAGCTTTCTGTAGTTCTTTATGTAGGGTTGAGGACTCATAGTTGTCACCCATCCACTTTAGCATGTCTATTGTTCTTATTCAGTTCATGTTCAGGCAGTCATGCTGGTGAGACTTTATGAGTGTAGCATCTGAGATCACTAGAAACAGTCCCACAGCAAACTTGTCCCTCATAATGTAAGTAATTCTCAACAGTCCCAAAGCCTTTCTCTATTGTCATTTTGATCTCCCTAAAGTTCCTCTAGTAATGAAATGAGGATGTGAGTCAAGTTGCCAATATATTGAGTGCTTTGTGACTCTTACCATACTTTTGAAAAGGTCATTTTAACTAAGCTTTCTGTTTCCAAAATCATTCTTTTGCCCTGCAGCCTCGTAACTTTTCCTTTGCTCCCTTCATCAAACATTTATTAAGCATCTTTTGTGATATACATTATGTATGCTAAGGCCTTGTCTTCAAACAATTATCAATCTAGATAAGGAAGGAAGGAAGGATTGTGTGTGTGTGTGTGTGTGTGTGTGTGTGTGTGTTCGCGCACAAGTGCATCTGTGTGTAATACCAATCAAGGTAGCATAAGCTAATTACCAATTGAGTCATGCCAACTCTAAAGACAAAACTGAAAGGAAACACAGCACTCTCAGTGAGCAAGTGAAAAGATAACGGAATACAATGGGTCTGAACAGGATGGAGATTTGAAACTTAAAAAGGAAGGAATTTCAAACCAAACAATCAGGTTTGAATATGACACCATGTCAACAACTTTATTCTTTATACAATATTATATTCTTGAAAATATTGTTTTTATAAAGATTTATTCATTTTCAGGTATGTTCATGTGACTGTGCCTGTATGTGCACTTTGGTAGAATACCCATACAGGCCAAAAGAGAATGTAGGACCCTCTGGAACTAGAGTCCCAGGTAGTTGTGAGATGCTTGACATGAATGTTTAGGAACTAAATTCCAGTCTTCTGAAAGAGTAATAAGCTATCCTAACCACTGAGCCAACTCTCTACAAAATATTCTTGAGGGAAAGGAAAGTAAGATGATGGATATCCTCATTTAACTTTTTTAATGGAAATAAAATAGCATTGCTTTGGTGGGGCTAATAAAGAACTTAAAGGTGATTTAGGAAGCTATTGATGTGAACAAGACAAGCCAGACATGAGAAACCACCTCATGATGGTTAATCTTCATTGCCAACATGATTTGGTTTAGAATCACCCAAGCAACACAGCTCTCATTGTGTCTATGGGGGTGTTTCCAGAAAGACTTAACTAAGGAAGAGAAACTCACCCTGAGTGTGGGCATCACTATGCTATGGTCTGGGGTCTTAGACTGAATAAAAAAGAGAGAGAGCCGAACATCTGCATTCATCTGTCTCTGCTTCTCGATGGCTGACACAATATTACCAGCTGGTTCACATTCCTGCTGCCATTCCTTCTCACCTACTATAGACTGTATCCTCAAAGCATCAATCAAAACAAACACTTCTTTCCTTAAATTGCTTTTGTCACGTATTTTGTCACAG